GTAAGGCATTATACATTGTGGTATTTTCAGATACATAATGTAAGAGAGCAGTAATGGAATAATAAATGTTTGCCATTCCTCATATCACATACCTTTACAGAACTTCCTGTTAACAACACCCAGCTCATAAGTTCAAGAATTTATGATGGCAACTTTATTACTAGTGTGGAAGTTATCTAGTGCGTTATCACCTTTAGACTGAGCTGGCACTCTAGCAGCTATTCTGTATATCACAAGGCTCATTCCTACTAGTGGATTTTTTGCAAATAAATAGTTAGAGAAGATAGACCAAGAAGAAGGGAAATTGATGAAATAGAGAGAAAAGTTGTATTCCAGAAAAGACAGCACCAAGTGTAGTGAACATATTCCACTTACTTCGCACTATGCTTTCTGGTGATACTTCATGAAGTTGTTCTTTAAAATGTATGTACAAAACTTAAAAAAAAATCACTACATCTCAGCATATGTACATTTCCCATGTTTTATCACTTTAAAACCATGAAAAATGCCAATTTATTTGCCAGAAATCAATTGTGTTAATAGCTTCCGGTTTAGGCTAACAACACAGTGCCCCTGCTGTACTAAAATTCCAAGCAGTGTTGTCAGCCTTACTTTGCTATTCCATACTGGACTATGGAACACTTCCCCTATCTATAACATAGGGGGAGGTGTGCCCTATTCCATAACTTTGCTCAAGCCTCCCCATATGGAAGAAAAATATATTTGAAATAGATTAAAAAAATATTCTTCCAAAATATATAACCATATGTTTGAAATGCTACAATTTTGGCCATATTCAATATATTTCATAAGATATTTCAATATAAATATAAATATATATATATATATATATACTGCAGGTTGAAATGCGTTTTTATTACAAAATATGTGAAAAATATTTTTAAAAATACATTTCAAATATACTGTATGTCTTTAAAAATACAAATCTACATTTTTGGAATGCATTTGCAAATATATGTAAAAATTTATGTTAAAATGACTTTTTTTATATGTTAAAAAAAAATCTGAAGAATATATGGATCATTCTTGCTCTCATACATGGAGAATCTGGATGCTATCCACTACAGCCCATCTCTGCTCTCCATCAAAAGATATGAAAGAATATCGCAACAGCAACATTTTTAAAAAATTTCAAAAAAAATTTTTAAGCCATGAGAAATAAAAATTTTTCCCTGTTTTTTTTTCTGGGAAAATTTACATTTTTTAAACAATTTAAAAATTCAGTGTGGAGTAGTTTTACAAATTGAAAGTCATTTTGATAAACTAGGAATGTGAATTGCAGTGTATATAAACATATTATGCTTGAAATAAAACTACAGCTTATTTTGTAAATAAAATAAACTTTCTTTTTAACATTTGTGATGATCCAGAGGCAGTAGATAGTGTTTCTGGAATGACAGCTCTGAAGGGAAAAGCTATTTGCACTCTTATTATGACGCTCATCATTTAATTTCATGAAGTGTTTTTCTAATATCTTTAGGGCACCTCTAGCATGCCAGGATCATTTAAAGATTATAAAGATAAACTAATTTGTCAGACAAATTTATCCTCTTATCTGTCAATAAAGGCCTAAGGGGAGGACAGAAATGATCATCTACTGTATCCTAACAATCACGCAGCTGTAGGAGGTACAAGATGGAGCCCACAAGCAAACTAAACTGTAAATTCCCCTGCAGTGCCCCTATTAGCAAAATGCAGGTTGAATTGCATTGGGAAGTACAGTGTTGCTTGAATTGTATTCCAGGATCTGCTTGTCTTCAGCTGAGAGAACTTGCAAAAATGTAAGAGCTTACACAAAGTCTTAGAAATATTTCATTATTATCTTTATGTTATATAGTTTGAATACTATGTCATATATATATTATTTATCATTGTAAAAGAACAAATTCCACACTCCTTTTTTTTCAGTTTTTCCAGGGAAAAAAAAACATCTTTGGAAAAAAACTCTTCCATTTTTTTCAAGGCCTTTCCTATCTCCAACCACCCTCACTTCAAACTTAGTTCTTCTTGCTGTATGTATTAATTGTCACAAAAGTGACTGCATACAACATGTTTCCACCCAAAAACCAGCCTTCCTTGATGCGTTTCAGCAGTCCTTGCTTGCTCACAAGGATAGAGGAAGGGCTTAGATCCTTGTGAGTGGTGAAGCACGTCAAGGAAGGTTGGTTTGTGGGTGAAGACATGTTGTATGCAGTCACTTTGCTGGCAATTAATAAATACAGCAAGATGAGTTAAGTTTGGAGTGTGGCTGATATTCTAAGCCCTGCACTTTTATCAAGATGGCAGCTTATGTCTTCACACAGATTCAATTGGGAAATATAGGGACGAAGACTTATGTTAAAGATAACGGATCCCCTCCCTAGACCACTTAATACACACAACTGACCCCCCCCCCCACACACACACACACACACACACACACACACACCCCTTCTTCACCTACCTGCACTTATAGCTGTGGCCTCCACTACTGTCTATAGCTTGGCAGGTAAAAATCCCATAGACCTGAATGGTGAATAGTATGTACTAGCAGGGGAAGGGTCCAGTTCACGTCTTAGAGATAGAAGTGCTCAGGAATGGGCAGCCAACACTAGACTTGTACTGGCTGGGCTGCATACTGCACGGGAGGCCACAGCCGTTTAATGAGGTAAGTATGGACCTGAGTGCCAGTGGGGGTCAGATTTATGGACCTGAGTGCCAAGGGGGCCAGAAATGGAAGTTTTGGGAGATTTGTGTTAAAACCTGAGCATGTACTTTAAAGATAATTCAGCCCACTGCTTTAGAAATGCTGAGGAATCAAAGCCTGGTTGTACTGGGGAAAAAAATCATGTACAGGCCCTTTTAACAGTTTGAAAATATGTTTTCTTTTTCTTGACTAGCAATCCTCTTTAATACTCAGAAGCAGAGGGATCTGGCAAGGTTATTGCTTGTGCAGATACTTCATGATTAATGTCAAGTAATAGCTATGAATTTCAAAGGAAAATGTCTAGTGTTTCTGCACATCTTCTCCAGACTCTATCGCATAAAAAGACTGGAACCCATATTAATAGACATGTAGAGTGAGAATGCTGTATATCTTGCTATGACAGATACATTTAAACGCCTTCATTAGTTTTATCTCATTGGCTTTCAACGCCAGGGGCTGATCATAGGCAGCATGCAGGTCAGAATCAGCCCTGAACTGTTTGACTTTTTGTGTTAATATATTTATTTATTTACATGCATTATAACACTCTGGAGGAACATGGCTTCAGCTTAGCTGGTACAACAGCACACAAACATCACGTCCACACTCATTACACACATCTAAAACAATTTTCCATTTAGCTATCCATCCTGTGGTTTGTATAGCTCTATGCAAGACAGAGAAATCAGATTAAATTGCTACTTCCAATCTAGTGGAGACAATCAACCCTTATCTACGATTTGTTGGGAAAATACGAATTTCTACAGAGCTGCAGTGAAAAGAGCAGTGCTTTATGTAATTAAAAAATCTAAGGACAATGAACAGAGAAGAAGATTGTTAGCATAATTTAATAGAGCTGTATGGAGTGAGTGGCCCAATAAAGATGAAGTAAAACATTGTGCTCTGTGAAATGTCAGTCTGTAAGAGGGTAATCTACAAAATGAGCAGCACAGCACTGATAAGCCTTCTCATTGCCTTATCAGAACTGTGATAGAGTAAATTCAACATAAAATGTTTTGAAGATAACAAGGAACATTGACTACCATAATTAAACAGGTTTGGCTGTGGCTTCGTTAAACTAGAGGTCCACACAATTAGCTAAAAGCATGGTTGAAATACATGTATACTGGCTTACCTGCTAAAATATTAATAATGAATCCCAAACACCTGCCTGGAGTTTGTATGTTCTCCCTGTGTCTGCGTAGGTTTCCTTCGAGTACTCCGGTTTCCTCCCACACTCCAAAGACATGCTGGTAGGTTAACTGACTCCTGTCTATATTGAGCCCTAGTATGTGTATGTATGAATGTGAGTAAGGCTGGCCATACACAGGCCGCAAAATTGGTCGTTGCCGATGTGGCCACCAATGTCTACAAAAAAAATATACGGCCGTTTTTCGTGGATTTTACAGCATGACCGATAAAAAGAAATGAGAAGATCCACGAAAAATGGCCGACGGCATTGCCCCACTAACAGCGTGAATATCGGCCAGTTTTTTTGTGCAGACGAACATTCGGCCGATACACGACCCGTCTATGGCCTGCATTAGGGACCCTAGATTGTATGCTCCTTGAGGGCAGGGGCTGCTGTGAATGTGTAATAAATATGTAAAGGGCTGCGTAAATTGACAGCGCTATAGAAGTACCTGTAATAAATAATTCTATTGAGCACGTCTTGTCATTCTCAAACATTTATTAATTATATTATTATTATACAGGATTTATATATAGCACCGACAGTCTGCACAGTGCTTTACAATATAAAGGGAGACAGTACAGTTACAACACAATAAAATACAAGAGGGTTAAGAGGGCCCTGCTCACAAGAGCTTACAATCTAATAGACGTTACAATGTATAGGCCAAAGAGAGACACCATTTTTCACCTTTGAAGATTTACCATTGCCTGTATCCCTGTCATTTGAGTAAGGGCACACACAGTGCTGAGGTCCATCCTGTCCTCTCTGGGGTTTTTCCAGTTCTTTTAAAATTCTTAAATACCTTTACCTCTAGGATCCAGCGCCTGAAATATGTTACACTGACAGTACAGTAGGGCCACAATGAATGACAGCACATAACCTCCCATTTTCAGTTTGACTTTTGCAGTGCAGTGGATAGTGGGAAGACAGATTTGAGATAGTTGTATTAGAAGTATTTTAAAAAAAATTTTAGTTTTTTTTGTGAAAACAAAACTTGATTAAAGGTTGATTTTTTTAAATAAAAATGCTTTAACTGCACCCCATAGCAGAAATACTGCTACAGGGTGGAAGCAGTGCGCAAAATCATGTATATGTACGTGATTTTGCATTTCCGGGTATGGGGCACATGCAACCTACACCCGCGCCACCTTTCGCAGCTGCGGTAGTCAATAACCGGGTCCCGGTCTGTGATTACTCACCAGCGCCCGGTGATTGCTGAGGATCTCCAATGGGGGGGGGAGAACTATTCGTAAACAAAACAGTTCTCCTCCTTTTCAGCTCCTGCACGCTGCTTTGCATGGCTGTACACAGCACAGCCATGCAAAGCAGTGTGCTTACAGTGAAGCACAAACACAGGACATGATGTAAAATGGCACACAGTTAACCCTTTGATCACCTCACATGTTAACCCCTTCCTGCCCAGTGCCATTAGTACAGTGTCAGTGCTTTTTATTAGCATTGATCACTGTATTGGTGTCACTGGGAATGTCAGTGACACCAAGTCAGTTCCCCCCAGTATCAGAATGCCCGCCGCAGTCCCGCTATAAGTCGCTGATCACCGCCATTACTAGTAAAAATTAAAAAAAAATTAAAAAGCCCAGCATATATCTCCATTTGCAAACGCTATAACTTTCACGTAAACCAATTAATTTACACGTATTGGGATTTTTTGTTAACAAAGACATGTAGCAGAATACATTTTGGCCTAAATTTGTGACGAAATTAGATTTTAAATTTTTTTTACTGGACATGTTTAATAGTAAAAAGTAAAAAATATAGTTTTTTTCTTAAAAGTGTTGATTTTTTTTAATAGCACAAAAAATAAAAATGCGCAGGCGATCAAATACCACCAAAAGAAAGCTCTATTTGTGAGAAAAAAAAGCTGTAAATTTCATTGGGGTGCAGCGTTGCATGACCGCGCAATTGTCAGTTAAAGTAACGCAGCACCGTAACACAAAAAATGGCTTGGTCTGGAAGGAAGGGGGGGGGGGGGGGGGGGGGGGGGGGGGGTTAAATCCTCTGGAAGGCAAGTGGTTAATAACAGTGAGCGACCAATGAAAAATGTTTATCTTATCTGATTCCTATAAAGTGAGTTGAGTTTTTGGCATTTACTAATTAAAATTAATGAAGGTAGACTGAACAGAGATTGTAGATCAAACTTTAGAAGTTATAATTAGTTGATTTTTACACAGAATGTTCACAGCTGCTATCTAGGGATTGCAGAAGAACTGTGACATTAGGGAGGGCCAGTAATGAATCTACAGCAGCTTCTATGTACAGTTGCTGTTAAACTGATAGCAAGAGAAATAGCATGGGTCATTTTGCTAGGAAATTATGTTGACCGCAAGGTTTGATGAGTATTGTGTTCTGACAACCTGAAATTTATGACCTGCAGAAAACAGCTGGCCCGCACAATGGTATAGATATATAGTCTATAAAACAAAATATGTTTCATTTTCCAAGGTTTCCTGAACAGTCATCCACAAATAATATACAATAGTTCAATGTTTGAAAAGTCAGAGGAGCAGGAACACTAGATGCAGGATAAAATCCCGTTTTGCAAATGCCAGTTAGTCATTCTGCCATTAAGAACATTGCTAAGTATTTATTTTGATTGCAAAATAACTGCAGTTATCCTTATTGTGATGAAGGGATGATGCAGGTCAGAAAAAGGACCAATGCACATCTTGTGATTTAAGGATATGGGCATCACAGTGTCTAAATGGTTAGCACTTCCACCTGGCAGTACTAAGGTTTGAACCCCAACCACGGCACCACCTGCCTGGAGTTTGCATATTCTCCCTGTGCCTGCGTGGGTTTCCTCCAGATACTCTGGTTTCCTCCCACTCTCCAAAGACATGCTGGTAGGTTAATTGGCTCCTGTCTAAATTAGCCCTAGTATGTATATGTGTGAATGTAAGTTTAGGGACCTTAGATTGTACGCCCCTTGAGGGTTAGGAACTGATGTGACTGTACAATATATATGTGAAGCAGGGGCGGACTGACCATTTGGAAACTCGGGCACTGCCCGAGGGCCCGGGGTCAGTAGAGGGCCCCATGAGATGCCCCTGGTACCTTTCATAGGCTTTTTTGGGTGTGGTTTGAGTGTGGGTGAGGACACAGGGGCCCCATGATCCCCTATTGTCCATGAGTTGTCAGTCCGCCCCTGATGTGAAGCACTGCGTAAATTGACAGCGCTATATATATACCTGTAATAAATAAAAAATAAAATGAAGAGCTAAACATCACAAAGAAAAGTGAAAAACATTTACTGGTTAACATTCACAGAATAGAAGCATATAAAACAGCAAGTCCGCTAGTGTGCATCTTGATCTAGGTTTCCACATTGCCACCTTTCTCTTGATTAGGGTACATACTGCCATGGAGAAAGATGTCAGTACATAAAAACTGTATTCTTAGTCCGATTATCTTGTGATCACTAAATGATACATGTAATAAGGAAATCCTACTGAAATTATATATATATTGTGCATAAATAATGTTTCCCTGATGTCTGTGCCACTGAACACTCACCGTTTTAGCAAATTAATTTATTATAAAGCTATGAGAAGAAGCTCTAGCTGGAAAATAGCTTTTTACCAGTTTGTTGATTGCTGATCAGTTGCAATATGTTACTACACTTTCTTTTTTTCCTGCTTTATGAGATAAGTGTTTTAGTTGCAGTAAACCTGACAAAGATCCTGAGCCATGCAATCTGAGCAGACTGACCACCGCAATGATTCTGTCCGCTTGAGTCATTCTGAATGAGTTAGAAGAATAAGTTGCTTTATGTTTTAGAGCAGCATTTCTCTACATTTTACCCAGAGGAATCCTTAAAAAAATATTCAAGTCTCAGGGAATCCCTATTTTAAAAAATCATCAGGGGTCATTGGGAAAACGCTGCTACGTTGATGGTCAATGGGAAAAATGCCCCCTTACAAGGATGGTCAGAATGCTACCTTTACAGTTAGAATGCTTCTTGGCATCACATCGCTGGTTTTGCCAAGTGGTGTTAGCCTTGAAACTATACAAGCACCGTCAGATGGGAGGGAGGTCAGTCAGCCACAGCTCAGGGAACCTCTAGCAACTTCTGGAGGAACCTTTTTTGAAAATGGCTGTTTTAGATTAACACATTTTTTTTCCAGTTTAATACAGCTAAAAATTACGTGAATCTTGGATAAATGCTGTGTGAAAAGATTTATAAATGCCCTCTAAGACTTCCTGTTATTTTTCTCCACCAATATTTTTGCCAACAATTTACACAATCCTTGACTAAGCAAAAATCTTAAAATAAAGCATTGTCAGTTTGAAGGGAGGGTAGTGTTAGACTAGTTGATTTAGATGGCATTGAGTAATAAATTGAAAAATAGATAAATAAATAAATAAAATAAAAGACATTTTATATATATATATATATATATATATATATATATGTATATCCCTCTTAGATTGTAAGCTTCAAGGAGCAGGGCCCTCCTAACCCTCTTGTATTGAACTGTATTGTCTCCTCCCGTTATATTGTACAGCGCTGAGCAAACTGTTGCCGCTATGTAAATCCTGTATAAAAATAATAATAATAATTTTATATATATATATATCGCATGCTAGTCTCATATTGAAAACTAATAGGTTACTAAAGATACAAAAATTCTTGTAAGATAGAATACAACTTCCCCGATGATGTAATGTATTGTATTGTATTGGTTTGTAATGTATTCAGACCTAGTCACTTATTTTTTTACGGACGAATACTGTACTGGTTAAATGAAAACGGTTTGTTCATTTAGATAATTTCGTGTGAATTGTGATCAACTCTCAAAAGTTGTGTACTGATGATCAGATTACCGGACGATCGCTTTGAAATTAAAACAAATTGTCCTCTGCTGTTCTTGTAGTTACACATATATCCATTAACTACTAATACGATAATGTGGATGTCTTTCCTGTTTTTTCTTTCTGCTTCAGCTGTACTGCCTCATGTGAACTGACTGATGGCCTGAGCAATGACTGATTACTTCCTTGAATGTAATATCCTAATAAGAACACAATAAGACCACATACAATTTCCCTATTTCATAAATATTGTTCTTCTCTAAATTACAGTCTAGAACATATTTCAGATAGATGGTGCTATGTAATACTTAATAAAAGAAGTGCCATTCCCACTCAGATGCACAGTATTAAATTAAACAGTATTTTGAGTGGCCTGGGCTAATTCATCTCACTTTATTCACACAAGGCTGAACAATGAAAATGAAGGTCCAGTTCCTACTCACACCTTTCCAGCGCATTGCGGCAAAGAGCTTGTTACTGCTCATTACTGCAAAACAGCAATTTTCAATATGGGTGGTATTATACTAATCTGGCTGGTAAAATTTAGACTTTTCCCACACTTTTTAATAGTAAAGGGATCATTAGCTTAGTTTTTCCAGAAATGTTAACAACCCTAGTTACCCAATTTTCATTGAAATAAGTGTCACTGACAGCATGAAGCCTCAGTGCATGAACATAAATGTGAAAGCTTGGTGGAGCTGATCTTATATGGAAGATTTGGAAGTTGATTGTACAAACCAATGCAGTAACTACTTCATAGAACACGTGGGGGTTTATTTACTAAAATGAAAGTGCAAAATCTGGTGCAGCTCTGCATACAAATGAATTAGAGTCCAGGTTTTATTGCCAAAGCTTAATTAAACAAGCTAAAATAAGAAGCTGATTGGCTACCATGCATAGCTGCACCACATTCAGAGAGCTCCAGTTTTAGTAAATCCACCCTATGGTTTTCTCAGTTTGTCATTACAGGCAGAAGAGATGTAAACAGAAACACTGTGGCTTTCCAACAGAGAGCTCTTTACAGCTTGATCAACTTTAAATTTAAAGTATTATCATTTTATTTTGACACGTGATGGGATTACTGATATTCAAACCATCTGAGCTGCTAAAAAAGATACCACAAATTATTTGGAACCTATGCAAGCAGTGATCTAAAGGAAAGTTGTACTGAGAAAAAAAAGGGGGCTGCCATTGCTGACCTCTTCAATGACTAATACTAGTTGCATGGTGATCTTTGGCTTGAACACTAAGTCACTGTCCTTAAATAGGCATGCAGTAACTCAATAAAACGTCAACTACTTTTGGTTTTTTACTTTTTTCTTTTTTTTTAAACTGTAACAATTAGATATTAGGGCCTCTCAAAATTCGATATCCAGTTTCCTGACTACCTAACATCTTTTGAGATCCTGTGTATATTTTTGCCCTGGACTGTGCCATGCTATACCCTATACTAATACTCCATTAGTGTGTGGTAGTAACGGAAGCAGTCCTTGAGGCAGAGACCAGGTTGGGCAGGACAAGAGACAAAAAAAGCAGGTGTCATACCTAATTCCATGTCTGCTACAGACACATCTTTTTTGGGGTGACTTTAGAATTGGGGTACCAGAAATGGCATCAGGAAAATGCCTTGCATTCAAACAAGCATGCCAGATATGGGGTCAAAATGAATAAGGCCTGGATTATTTCTTAGATACACAGAATATAACTGGATG